ACTGTTGTCTATCACCACACACCAAAATGGATTAAGGACCTGAATCTAAGACCTGAAACAGTAGATTGCATAGAAGAAAACATAGGTACAAACTGCAAGGACCTTGAATTTGGAGAAGATTTTATAAATTTGACCTCAAAGGCAAGGGAAGTAAAAGCAAAAATAAATGGATGGGACTATATCAAACTAAAAAGCTTCTGCACAGCAAAAGATAAATCATCCGAATTGAAAAATATATTTGCAAGCAAGACCTCTGATAAGGGCCTAATATCCAAAATATACAAAGAACTCATACAACTCAACAACAGCAGCAACAGAAAAAAACCCCAAACAATCCAATGAAAAAATGGGCAGAGGAACTGAACAGACACTTCTCGCAAGAAGACATACAGTGGCCAACAAACCTGACAGGATGCTCAACTTCATTAGCTATTCGGGAAATGCAAATCAAAACCACAGTGAGATACCATCTCACACCTGTTAGAATGGCTGTCATCAATAGGATAAGTAATAACAAGTGGTGGAGAAGTTGTGGATAAAAAAGAACCCTATTATACTGCTGGTGGGACTGCAAGTTGGTAGAACCACTATGGAAAACAGTATGGAGGTTCCTCAAAAAACTAAGACTTGACCTACCATGTGATCTAGCAATCTTTCTACTGGGTATTTACCCCAAAGACTTGAAAACATTTATCTGAAAAGATATATGCACACCTATGTTCACTGCATTATTCACACTGGCCAGGATGTGGAAGCAACTGAAGTTTCCTATATATATACAATGGAGTATTACTCACCTATAAGAAAAGATGAAATACTACCATTTACAGTAACATGGATGGTACTTAAGGTAATCATGCTGAGCAAAATAAGCCAGATAGAAAGAGTCGAAAACCAAATGATATCACTTATATGTGTGATATAAATCTGAAAGCAACAAACAAACATGACAGACAAACAGCAACTCATGGACATGGACAGTGGTTACCAGAGGGTAGTGGGGGAGGGGGAAGGTAGAGGTAAAAGGGGTCAAATATGTAGTGACGGAGATAAATCTGATTATGGGTGGTGAACACACATGCAATATATATGTGAGTTACCGTTGAATTGTACACTTGAAATTTATTGGATTTTGTTGATCAGTGTCACCCCACCAATTAAAAAACAAGTATAGACAGAATACCTATAAATGCAGCAGACCCCCCAATAATTATAGAACTTTAGCAACTTTATATCAATACCTTAGAAAACTTAGGTGAAGAATTTATATAAATATTTCTTCTCAAGGTGAGGTGAAAAATGGCGTAGAAGATAGAGGCTCTGTCCATCCCTCTGGCAACCAAATCAAAGTTGTGACAGAAACAACGAGCAAACAGCAAGGAAAAATCACCTAGGATCTAGATGAACAAGCCATACAACTAGGGAGAAATCTAAGAAATCACCATACAATGGCAGAAGGTAGGACAGGGCAAGGACACATAGCTGCCCTGTCTCTAGCGGCTGAGTGGGACAGAGGCTGCAGCAGCAGCAGCTGGCAGCTCCAGATGCCTCTTAAAGGGGAATCCAAAGAGCCCCACATCAAGACACGTTATAATTAAAATGCCAATCAGCAAGAGAAAAGCAGTTAGTTACCTACAAGGGAGCACCTGTGAGACTGGCAGCTGATTTCTCAAAAGAAGCTTTGCAGGACAGAAGGGCTTGGCAAAAAAAATATTCAATGTGTTGAAAACCCAGGATCTACAACCAAGAATACTTTATCCAGCAAAGCTATCATTTAGAGTTAAAGGACAGATAAAGAGCTTCCCAGACAAAAATAAGCTAAAGGAATTTATTACCACCAAGCTAGTATTACAGGAAATGTTGGAGGGACTTCTTTAAGAAGAAAAATCATGTATCAAAAACATGAATAAAGAATTGTAATAACTATATTCCTATCAACAAGTACTTCAAAAGGAAAAGAATTAAGTGCTCCAACCAAAAGATAGAGTGGCTGAATGGATGAGAAACAAGACCCCTACATATGCTGCCTGCAAGAGACTCACTTCAGATTAAAAGGCACACACAAACTAAAAGCAAGAAGATGGAAAAAGATGGACTTTGATGGACCTAGAGGGTATTGCGCTGAATGAAATAAGTCAGATATAGAGAGACAAATATTACATGATTTCACATACATGTGGAATCTAAAGAACACAATCAACAACAACAACAAAAATGGAAACAAGCTCATAGGTCCAGAGAATATTTTGAGGGCTACTAGATGGGAGGGGGGTTGGGGAGGATGGTGCAAAAAGAGGAAGGGATTGAGAAGTACAAATGAATAGTTACAAAATAGACTTGGAGATATAAAGCATAGCATAAGGAAAATAGTCAAAAATGTTATAATAAATATGTAAGGGGGAAGAGTGCTACTAGATTTAGTAGGTTGATCACTTTGTGAGTTACATAGATCTCTAATCACTATGCTATATAACTAAAATTAATATATTATTGTATGCCACTATAATTGAAAAAAGCTCATTGAATTGTACAATGTAAATGTGAGCATCTGTCTATTATATTTCAATAAAGCCCCCCCCAAAAATATTTCTCCTCAACATAGATGGACCTACTACCATTAAACAAATTAAGTAGTTTAAAATCTATCCCTTCCTCCAGCCCAAAATCATCAGACTTGTTTGGTTTAGGAGGAAGATCCTACCAAACTTGGAGGACAGTGATCCCTCCTCATCCACAGGGGATACATTCCAAAACCCCTGATGGATACCTGAAACCATAGATAGCACTAAACCTAATTATACTATGTTTTTTCCTATACCTACATACTTACATACCTATAATAAAGCTTAATTTATAAATTAGGCACATCAAGAGATTAACAACAATAACTAATAATAAAATAGAACAGTTATAACAGTATGATATAATAAAAGTTAACCAAATGTGGCATTTTTTTAAGTGAAATAAGGTTACTTGAACCCAAACACTGCAGTCCACAACAGTCAATCTGACACCCTGGACAGCTACTAAGTAACTAACAGGTAGGTAGTGTACACAGTGTGAGTATGCTAGATAAAGGAATAATTTGCATCTCAGGTGGGACAGAGCAAGGCTTCAAGAGATTTCATCACACTACTCAATGGAGTGCAGTTTAAAACTTAAGAATTGTATATTTCTGGAATTTTCCATTTAATATTGTTGGACCACAGTTGACGTCGGGTACCGGAAACGATAAGCGGAAGACTACAGTAATCTCTCTTTTATACTGACCTTGAAGATAGAAAAAGAAGGAATATTTTAAAATGAATTTTATGAATTTAATATAACTTTGATACTAAAATAAGGTCATGTGAATTACTAGTAGGTGGGAATGTGATTAATATGAACAATTTGACATTATCTAATGTGTGTAACTCGGTAACATAAATGAGTGTTTACAGTAATATTGTTTATATTAGAAAAACCTAAAATAATCCAAATAACCATTGACAGGAGAGTGAATAAACACACTGCAGTATTCATACAGTGGAATACTATTCAGTATTGTAAGTAAATGAACTTTAACTAGACCCATCATTGTGGATGAAAAAAGTTTCAAAAGAATATAGACAAAACCCAGCAAAACTAAGTAATTGTTTAAGATATACATTTGTGGTAAAGCTAGAAAGAAAAGAAGATGGTAAACACAAATCTTAGAGTATTGATACTTTTGTACAGGGGGCAGAGGGGTGTGATAAGCTAAGGGTATTATAGGGTCTTAAAAATTGATAATTAATCTAGGTGGTAGTATTGTTTACTAATGTTTATAAATATTCATATATAGTTTATATTAAGCTGTATGTATTTATACACACATACTTCATTTGTAAGAATCAACTTAATTTTTAATTTTTTAGATTTTTATTATAGAAAAAACATTTGAGAATTGTCAGGAAAAATCTGAAAAAGAAACTAAATGAGGGAAGAGCAGTATTAGCTTCTATTAACATTTATCATAAAGCTGAAATAGTTAAAACAGTTTGTTAATGACATGAATAGGATACCATAATGTAATAGAAGAATACTTTAAGAAAAAAAAAAGATTTTAATATCCTGGGAGGAATTTGAAAGTACATTGTAATACAAAAGTAGGATGCCATGAGAAGGGAATAATTAGAAAACATGATCGAGCTACTGGAAATTAAAAATAAATTTTCCTGAATTCAGAAATTCAGTATAAGGATTTGGAGGATAAATTCAATGAAGTCTCCCAGAAAGCAGAGCAAAAAGGGCAAAGAAACAGTAAATGAATAAAAAGATGAGACAGTGGATTAGTCCAAGAGGTCTCATATTTTTAGGTGTTTGCTAATAATAATAGCTAGGAATTATATATTGCATACAGTGTACCAGGTAGTATTCTAAGCATGTTATGTGTATTGATTCATTTATTCTTCCTAACTAGGCACACTTATTGTTCTCATTTTTTTAGATGATGAAACTACCTCGCAGAGGGATTAAGTAATTTACGCAGAGACACATAGCTGATAACTAGTAGAACTAGAATATGACACTAGGCAATCCCTAAACCTGTCAAAACATTATAGTGCTCCCCACTAATTTGTTAACACTAAAATGTTAATATCTGTTTTTGAAAAAAAAATCACATAGAGGCAGCTTATAATTGGTCATTCTGTAATTAGGTTTGTATTTTGTATTTTGAAGCTAGGAGGCATGTAGAATATTTTATCATTGTTGTAGAGTTTAAAAATTATAAGTCTTAACTAAGTTTTACCTTAAATTATAAACATTTTATTGAACGTTAGAGAAGAGCTTTAAATAATGAACATATGCTACATTTTGTATTCAGTTAAAACAATTATTTTTTACTGTTTCATCAGTGATATTTTGAAATCCTTTTATTACAATATAGGTAAGAATAACATTTAAGCTTCTCAGCATTTATCTTCAAGATATATATTAGAATTTTGTAGTTGCTATATCTTGGTGATCTATATTTCCAGAGTTATCTTGAAGAACTCTTACGACTTCGAGAGAACCAGCTGTCTGAATCTGTCTCCCAGAATAAAACACTACTACAAAGGATTGAAGATTCTGATCTAGCCCATAAATTGGAAAAGGAACAATTAGAATATATAATTGTGGAGCTTCAAGATCAGCTGTAAGTGAAATCCTTTTGGAAAAATTTTGGCAATATGTGAACTTAAGAAAATGTCACTTTTTGACACAGGATTCAAATTCCAAGAAATCTGATTGCCTACTATTAAGTTATTTTTCACTATTTTTTAAAGGTCTTATTATAAAAGTAATCCATGCTCATTGTAGAAACATTTATATCAGATATGGGAAGAAAATAAAAATGACCATTCAGTTGTGCTACCCAGAGTTAACTCCTGTAACTTGGCATATTCTTCCAATTGCAATGCATAATTTTTAAAGTATTTATTTATTTAGTTATTGATTGACTGATTGATTAATTGATTACAGAAAGATGGTATGTAAGACCAGTACTACTCAAAGTGTAGTTCCGGTGCATAAACTGTTACCAGATTGTATCAGATTATCACTAAGCACAGTTTAGTCTTGCTAACTTTTTCCATAGCAAGACTTCTATTGATGAAGAAAGCTGTGTGTATTGATCTACATTATGGTGAATAACTTGTCACTATCCAAAGCCCTTGTATTAATCTTACCATTTTGTCAAATTTGATTTTGTCAATTATTTGTGGTGAAATCTTCTCATTAATATTTACTTAATCTTAAAGAATGGTTTTTAATTTTTAAAAAATAATTTTTGTATACCTTTTCCTAGATTCACCAGTTTTCAGCATTTTGCCATATTTGTCATAATTCTCTCCTTTTCTCTGTATACACATATATATTATTTCTTGAACCACCTGCAAGGTTACATACATTATACCTCTTTACTGCTTAATACTTCAATGTGTCTTTACTAAAAACAGACCTTTTATATAATCATAATCCAACTTTCAGTTTAAGAAATGTGAATTAGTACTATACTTTCATCTTATCTGTAACTCATATTTCACTTTTTTCAATTGTCCAAATAATGTCCCTTATTGCAACTTTTGTTTTTCTGATAAAGATCAAATTCAGGATCGTATTTTGCATTTGATTGTCACTCTCTTCAGTCACTTCTAAGTTAGAATAGTTTTTCAGTGTTCGTCTCACATGAAATTGATATTTCTAAAGAATACAGGCGTATAATTTTATAGAATGTCTCTCAGTCTTAGTTTGTTTGCTTTTCTTTGTGTTTAGAATAAACTTATTCATTTGTGGCTAGTATACGACATAAGTGGTGTGTCCTCAGGATATCACTTCCAGCGGTCCATGAAGTCTGTTGGCTTTTTAGTAGTTATATAAACTTTAATCATTTGGTTAAGGTATTTTTTTCTTTTATATAGTTATTGTTGTCCTTTTGTAATTAGCATGTAATTTGCAAGAAGGCTAAGTATAAAAGATGATTTTCTAAGTAAAAAAAGTTTTATTAAGGAACAGAAAAACTTAATATTTTCTAGAAATTTGTATCTTGATAACATATTTATATGTCATTTCTTATATTTTTAAAAATATTTTAAAGAGAGTTTATCCTATGGGGTATCACTTGAGGGGTGGATTAACACCTTCCATAGCCCCTTGTTTTTGTAAGCAAGGAGAAAATATCAAGAGCCAAACAATGGAGATTCGTGGTTATTTCTTTGCAATTAAAAGATTAAGAAGATAATTTTTTCGATTCATTAAATTCATTGGGGGTGATATTGGTTAATAACATTATAGAAGTTTCATGTGTACAATTCTGTAATGCATCATCTGTATATTGCATTGTGTGCTCACTACCTGTAGTCTAGTCTCCCTCTGTCACCATATGTTCGACCTCTTTTATTCTTGTCATCTTTCCCCTAACCCACATCCCCTTTGGTAACCTTCATACTATTGTCTGTGTCTATGAGTTTGTTTGTTTTATATGTTCATTTGTTGTTTTCTGTTTTATATCACATATGAGTAAAATCATATACTTCTTATCCTTTTCTATGACTTATTTCGCTTAGCATGATACTCTCAGGATCCATCCATGTTGTTGCAAATGGCAGTATTTCATCCTTTCTTATGTCTGAGTAGTACATTGTATATATATACCACATCTTCTTTATCCAGTCATCTATCAGAGGGCATGTAAGTTGTTTTCATGTCTTGGACACTGTGAATAATACTGCAATGCACATCGGGGTGCATATATCTTTACAAACTTTATGTTTTCAAATTTTGGGGTTAGATACCCAGAAGAAGGATTACTGGGTCATAATTCATTGAGGAATCTCCATACTGTTTTCCGTAGTGGCTGTACCAGTTTATAATCCTATCAGCAGTATAAGAGGATTCCTTTTTCTCCACATCTTCTCCAACACTTGTTATTTCTTGTCTTTTGATAATAGCCATTCTAAAAGGTGTGAGGTGGTATCTCATTATGGTTTTGATTTGCATTTTCCTAATAGCTAGTGAAGTTGAGCATCTTTGCATATATCTGTTGGCCATTTGTATGTCAAGAAGATAATTTTTCTTTTGCAAATAATCTTAGTAGTTTGTCTAAATTGTTTGAAGTTAAAAATAATTATGAAGTCAGTTTTTATTTAATCAGATATTTTCATTTGAGAATTAAATTTGAATGTATCGCATTTATTTTACTTTTGATTAAATTTAAGGGAAACAAAGACTCAAACTTTTTTAGTTGGCAAAAGGAATCTACAAGTTACAGTTTTATCATATATCTATGATAGAAAAGTGTCATTGATCCTCTTGATTTTTCAAAGAAACCTTACAATTGTTTTTAATACCTTTCAGGAGATTTTAACTAAATTTTACCAAAGCAACAAATAAAAATTATTTAGACAATTTTAAAAATTAAAAAACTCTTTCCTTGCAATTAGAGGTTAAAGATTTACTCTCCCACAGCATGGGTAAAATCTCTAGGTGGGTGTAAACTGGTACCTTTCAAGATTCCTTTGCACAAAAACTGTTACAAGAATACTGAACAGAAGAGTAAGAGACATTCCTTTCAGAATGTTCACAATTGACTATGTTATCAGAATTATCTTAAAGGTGCAGAATACTCTGGAGATTTTTGCAACCGTAGGGAGAGAGTGGACACTCTTTTTTTCTTTTTATGTTGCTGAGATTTTTTTTCAAGCAATTAGGAAGGCCTGCATCGGAGATGGGCACAGAAATTGCCTTTGTTAATCTTGAGAAGATTAAAATTATAATGTATAAAATTTATGTGTAATGTATGAAAAGGTCAGAAGAGTAGTAGTAAATGGAATATGAGGCATCTAATATTTGCTTCTATATTATATTGGTTATCTTTTCCTGGGTGACTTAAATCCTTTGTCACTTTACTTATTCTTTTTATATATTTCTCAATGGTTAGATGTGTTTTTGAATTACCGTTAAAGTGCGCTTTAATTATACCTTTCAATACTCATAAAATCTGAACATTTTGTAGTTTTGATAGCAGAGTACAAGTTAGTATGATATAGTATAGAGTATCCTAAAGCTTTCTTGCAAATCAGGACTGTGTTCAGATACTGACTTTATGCTTGCCTATTATGAGCTCAAACTTAATGTCTTAGAACCTCTGTTTCCTTATTGGTAAAATGGAGATAATAGTCCCCTTGTGGATTATTATGAATATTAAATAGTATCATGTATAATATAGCTAGGACAAAGAGGGCATTCAAAGATTATTCTTCTATTTTGGCTTATAGAAGCCTTAAAATCACCTTAATAAGTTCACTCAGAAAGATAGTGAATTTAAAATGTTTTACCTTACCATGCCTCCAAAGTACAGATCAAACCATGAGTTTGAACTTGATTATATTATTCCTGGGAATCAACAAATTCACTTTTGAGATCTAGTTTCTAAATGGCAGTTGGATTAATATTTATTATTACAGTATAGATTTGTATAGACCACGTATGTGAGGGAGACTTATTACTTAATGGGTGCCACTTTTAACTATAATTCTTTTCCTCATTGATAAGTGATGCAACACTAATTTGGAGCATTTTACAAGACATTAACAAAAGTACATTTGAGTGACTAAGTTTATATTTGGTGGAGTTTTAAAATATTGAAAAATTTTGCATCTCTAAAAATTATGTTTAGGAGTAATGTTATCGTTGGGAAATATAGCATTATTATAGTTTTTTTATGTTCATAGTTTTATTGAAATCTGTGGTATAGTTTGAAATCAGTATACTTGGAATCGGTGATGTCAGAGCATGGCAGCATGAGGGATCTTCCCTGATCTCTCCCCTTGAAACTATAAGGAGCTGAACACTTATATCCCAACAAATAGCACCTAACCTGCACACAAGCATGTCTGAGGGATCTGTGCATCAGAGCATTAGAAGGTGGGCCATTCGCACGTGTGACAGGGAGGAGGAGAGAAAGAAACAAAGCCAAGCACTGCCGAAAGCAGCTCCAGCCCAGAGCTCCCAGCCGGGCGAGGGAGAGGGGACAACATATGATGCTTTCGTGGCTGTTTGAAGCCCCAAACAGTCCTGCCTGAGGAATAAGCATATTCCACACAGCGGAGCCCAGGGAGCGGGGCAGAGAGCAGGACAGGGACTGAGCGCAGAAGGGTGACAGCTGTGTCTTAGCAGTCGCCTTTGCCAGGTAGAAAGCTGAGTCATGGAGCCTGGCTGTATTCCCTCACCATCCCAGAGCACGCCCGCTCCCCTGCCCCTCACTCTCCCAGCACAAGCACTGAGCCACGGAGGATATTGTGTAGCGAGAACTGAAACATACGCAGCAGCCAGTCTCAGAAATAGGAGAGGGGTTATAGACACAAAGCAGCTGAAGCCCGAGAGCCACCATTACTGGAAGGAAAACAGTCACGAAGCTGGCCTCTCCCAATTCACCCACCCCTATCCAGTCAGGCTGATTCATAAGGAAGCAGAGGAGCATTGCACCTAACAATTGGAGCAGTACCGGGGCTCAGACTCCCATCGCCCTTCACATTCTCCCACAGGAACCTTGGGACCAAGGCAACCTGACCACAGAGGAGATACACACCTTTCCAGAGAAAAAAAGATATTCTTAACCACAAAGCAAAACTCCAGTAGGTTTGGGCAGTGCTGAAG